AAGATGGAATGGTCTACTATGTGCACTAGTTTTTTTATTGTTCTCTTTTTTCCAGTGTGTAACCTGAAAAACTAAACAGGTTACATACCAGAAAAAGAAAATGGTGGAGTGATTTGAAAGAGGTGTAGAGATGAGTATATATAGTATTGGACGTTCCGTATTATTAGGATCAGACGATCAAAATATAGTAATTTGGATTGTAACGCATTTCATGCATGTCCATCGAAAGTTCTCTGATTCCCCGATAGTTAATCTCTGTTGTCCTTTTTCACAAATGGCAAAATGTAAGACCAATGTATTGTATTTATGCTATATAGACATGACCAAAACCCGGGCCGGGCCGTGCGCCGGGTCGCCGGGCTCGAAAACACTGATCCTGAACCGGCACGGACCTATACTCGTGCCGGGTCCGTGTCCGGGCCAAGTCATGTCCAGGCCGGTTCCGTGATTTTTTTTTTTAAAAACAATAGAAAAAATAAAAAAAATAAAAAGGAGGGTCATCGACCCGGTCCGGCCCGGGCCCATCGGGCCGGATCATGAAATTGATGACCCTTAAACGACCCGTCTGAAATCCAGTCCTGTCTCGGACCCGTGGTCAATGAGCTTGACCAGACCGATTGACCCGTGGTCATGTCTAATGTTATATTTAGGAGTTGTGTTGTCATAAACATAGGCTAAGACAATAGGTTGATTCAAGTATACGTTTAGATATCACTAGGAAGTCGCACGTAATTATTATTTTTCATGATTTGAAAGTTATATTATTAATGAATTTATGCTTAAAATCCAAAATTTTTATTAGTTTAATAAAGGAGGAAATACATACATACATACATATAATAAATTATATAAATGTATTAACACTGAAACATAATCTTTAATGGTATTAAAAACTATAATTAAATAAAAAAAAAATTGTGTTAAAAATCCAAAAATGAAATCAATCAATTTCTCATTAATGGTCGATTGCTAAAGAAGTCTCATTTATCTGTAATATGTTAATTGATGTTGTCTTCATTGTTGTTTGAAATCATGATCATTGTTGCTGTTATATTATTTTTATGTAATATTTTTATATCTTTCTTTGTTGTTGTTGTTATACAAAATACGTAACTAGAGATGTCAATAAAACCCGTAGGGTCGGGTTACCCGCGGGTTACCCGCATTTTCGGGTCGGGTAAACCCGTGATGGTCGGGCTTCGGGTCGGGTTCGGGTAGAATTATGCTACCCGAACCCCGGGTCGGGTCGGGTGCGGGTATAGTAGAAAAACCCGTTACCCGACCCGATTACCCTACCCGTTTACCCGCACATTTAATTTTACATATAAATATATATAAGTGTATATTTGTAACTTATTATAAATATAAAAGTATTCATGTGTTATTAATATTAAAAATTATATTATTTATTATAATTTTGATTAATGGTTAAATTTTATTATATTTTTATTATTTTATTATCATTTTTTGTTAATTGTACAATAAAAAAATTAAATACTTAATTTTTAAGTGTTATATTATTAAATAGACTATAAAAGTTAAATAATTATATCTTATTATTTATTTCAAAAATAATATATTTTTTTTTTAGTTTTTATTGTCAAACTTAGTTGATAAATTATTTGTTACATTATAACTAATTGTAAAATTATTTTATTTTATTTTTTCATATCAAACGAGATGGGTCGTGTAAAGCCAAAATTTAAGAACTCGGGTTACCCGTTTACCCGAAGAAAACCCGCTAACCCGACGGGTAAAACCCAACCCGAACCCGAAGATCACTAACCGGGTAACGGGTCGGGTTTGGGTAGGGTAATTTATACACGGGTCGGGTCTGGGTTTGCCAAAACCCGTACCCGACCCGACCCATTTACATCCCTATACGTAACAACGGGTTAAGGAAATTCCCTAAGTAAAAATATGTTAAATAGTAAATGAGGTCGGATGATCTGTATTTTATATAGTAAACAACTCGATTCCTTAGTACAACTTAGGGTTGTTCTAGAGTAAGAGAAATCGAATCTCTCATTTTTACAATAAATGAGGGGTATTTAGTATGAATCCCACGGGTTCTTGATGCCCGCACGTTGCCATTTAATACGATATGACAGCGGCGTGCGGCTCTGCAAGGTGGGTCACATGCCTGAATGACATCGGATCCTTTGTGATGGGATAGCCAAGTGCATCGTGGAACTTTCTGGCTGCTCACTCCATTTATTTCGTGGTCGGGCCCTTTGTTCGGACCTTGGTTTTATGTCGAACTGTTGTCTATTCAGTTGTTGACGGGCCGATTTATTCGGTCCACTTTTCGGCTAGATGTAGGGCTGCAAACGAGTCGATCGGCTCGCGAGCGCTCGAGTCAAAGCTCGACTCGAGTCGAGCTCGAACCCATATTTTGCATTGTCGAGCGGCTCGATATTTATATTAAATTACTAAAATACCCCATATATATATTTAAATAGTATAACACAAGTGCTTAATGGTAATTTTGAGTGTCAATCCATGTCATTTGGACTGTCTTTCATTATTATCTTTGATATATTTTTGTAAATGACTTAAGCAAAAAATAATTATGCATTATACATAAATGTAAAATTTTTATTTTAAATTTTTTCATAAGTAAAAAATATATATTCTCTTAATATATATTTTTTTTTATTTCTAGCTTATTA